TCCGCGTTACCTTATCCCGTAGACTTTAGCTGGTAATTTATGGAGATATATCTATAGTACGACATTGGCTTGTTTGAAGTATATCCTCAATATATTCTAGGTAGCAAGATGTTGATAAAATTACGGTTGCGTTCCAATATTGATTGCTAGTATTGAAAATTAAGAGACACGGTAATATCTCGGTCAAGTCTATAGTATACGTGACACTCCTTAATAAATGAAAAAAATGAAAAAATGAAAAAAAAAGAGAAAAAGTGATGAAACTTCTTTCATCTTGTATCATCGCATGTTTTTAAAACGGCCACTCATTTTACTCGGGATCCTGCTCGATGTTGCTTAATTTCTATCCTAAGATAAAACATGCTACTGAAATGATAATATAAATAAAGTAAATTCCCTAATAGCACATGATATAATTCCAATATTCTACATTCGTAATGAAAGTACTGTGATCATACGTACTATTGCCTAATATACTAGAGAACATTTATATGACATCTTAATGGTATATCATTTCTCGTATATTCTTAATCTCATCTTCAGAATATACCGAATATAGCAACTCCCTACATGATATCATATGAATATTCTGTATTTATACTGAATATACTGTGATCATATCGAATATACCAAGATTATTTGTATAAAATCTATGTATCCCAAATATCAAGATGACGTCATTATGACAATGATTTAAGGTTATTTTTTGCCAGTGTATTAAAAAACGACATAAAATAAATGTAACATTTGTCACGAAATATTATCGTCATAAATATATTGTCATTTAATTGTCATTTTTAAATCATTTTTAATGAATAAATAATGAAATAATGTTATTAATTGAAATAATATAATTAATTAAACTATCTTTCTTAATTAACTATAATATATAAATAAGAAAAATATTTCCCATATTTAATACAATTATTGACAAATTCATAAATAAATAAACAAAATATATTCAACAATTTATAAACAATTTTTATAATAACAATGATTCTCATTAAACATAATATAGGTTCATGGCTCTATGTATGTAATTAAATTATTCACAAGAATTATATACGAAACCGAGATTTTAAAATTAAGGCTATTTATATGACAATATAGTAACATTTATTAACTGGAGCTATTATATTTTATGTCAAAATTTCGTGTTCACTTATATTATTGCAGATTTCATCCCATTATAGAAATTAAGCAGCATCGAGCAGGATCCCAAGTAGAAGGGGTTGGACCGCTTTAAAAACATGCAATGATACAAGATAAAAAATGTTTCATTATTTTCTTTCATTTTTTTTATTTTTTTCACTTATTTTCCGTAAGAGATGTCACGTATATTATAGATTTTCACGATCTATATGGCTGTCTGGGATATCCTTATGCATACTCTACATGATGTACTGTTTTTAAATCGTTTTCATCCTATGGCCACATTGTGGGATATTCTCCAGTACATAATAGGGATTAATTTAGTGAGCGGTAATAACTAAGTACATTCCACAGTATATCACAGTATTTCGAATATTCGGAGAATATCATATACTTGTATGATATTTCATGGAACGTTCTTAGAATAGACGAGTGCTATTAGGGAACGTACTGTCAACCGTATATTTTTCTGATTTTTTTGACATTAAAGATTACAAGATTACAAAATTCAAATTAGAAAAAAAATTAAAATTGGATTTATTTTTTAATAAAATATAAAAAAATGGATGAAATGGTTTTTATTATTTAATAGGTTTTTTTATTTAATGGTTTTTATTATTCTTTTTATGGTTTTTTGTCAAGGAAAAGTGAATTAAAAACTTACCTTTCTTGTTATATAAATATTGTTCACTATCAATTTCTATTATTTCATTTCTATTATTAGACTTGTGAATGCAGCCATGATAACTGATAACTCTGATAACTGTTTACACTGGCTGCTTTTCTTTTAAGTGATACTCTCTATACAAATGTTATTCTATCTTGAAAAACAGTTCTATCTTCAAAAACAGTTGAAAAACAGTTTACGCGCTCAAATTTTAATTTAGGCGCGTAAAATTAAATTATCTCTGCGAGCTCGGTTTTTGAATCCGAAGTGAAGTCGAGGAACTTAATTCGCTCTAAAATTAATACCGAATGCAGATGAAATGACATCTAGCAGAAAGATGTGAATTGCTGAACGATTTTCGAGGTGAAAGAACAAACAGATGTCTCTGATTTATTAGATGTACAAAAAAGTTCTGAGCTTTAGATTTCATACAACCGAAATAACAATTTAAATTTTATATATCTTTCCACCCTTTTGCGGTTTTAAAGCGTTGACATTTGACCTTCTAAAATGCCATACAGTTTGGCGTTTGATGCACATAACCTCAAAAATCAGTAGTGTTCACGATGGCAATAACAAAAGAGCATATTCGATTTTCCATCCACTTCGCGTTTCATCTGAAGAAAAATGCTGCTGAAGCCACTGCAATGATTTGTGCTGCATATGGAGAAAACGACTGTAAGTTATACTACATGTAAAAGATGGTATCAAAAATTTCGCCAAGGAGATTTCAGTCTTGAAGATAACCGCGTGCTGGATGCCCTCAAAAGATTGAAATGGACGAATTGCAAGCACTGCTGGATATAAACTCTGCGCAAACTGAAAAGGAGCTTGCAGAACAGCTTGGCGTTACGCAGCAAACCATTTCCGTACGTTTACATACGATGGGAAAGGTTCAAAAGGAAGGCAGATGGGTTCCGCTGAATTGTCCGAAGACAACAAAAATCATCGGCGTGACACTGCATTCACTTTGCTTTCAAAGTTCCGGAAAAAAGATTTTTCGCACAAAATCATTACAGGCGATGAAAAGTGGATTCTTTATAATAACCCTAAACATAGAAAATCATGGGTTGACCCTGGTCAACCTTCGACATCGACGTCAAAGCCCAATATCTACGCCAAGAAGGTTTTGCTTTATATTTGGTGGGATTGGAAAGGTGTGTTGTATTATGAGTTGTTACAACCGGATGAAACAATCACGGCAGACTGCTACCAACAACAATTGACCAATTTGAGCGATGAGAAGAAAAGAGGCCATTTACTGGCCAAGGACTTGCTTCATGACAATGCTCGACCACATGTTGTGAAAGCGACTGAGGATCATATCTTTGTGTTAGGCTGGGAACTTCTCCCGCACGCGGCGTATAGCCCAGACATGACGCCTTCCGATTACTACCTATTCCGGTTGCTGCAGCATCATTTGGCTGATACACATTTCGTGAGATTTGAAGAGATACGAAAATGCATTGATGATTTTATCGCTTCGAAGCCGATAAGCTTCTATCGTCAAGGAATTCGCAAGCTACCCGAAAGATGGCGAAAGGTCGTTGATGCAAACAGGGAAATATTTCGCTGATTAATATTTTTTTGTTTGTTTTTGAATAAAGATTGAATTTTACAAAAAAAAAGCTCAGAACTTTTTTGTATACCTAATATAAAACCGAACGCAGTAATTGAATGTACTGTGATCATACCGAATATACTAAGATTATTCGTATAAAATTTATGTATCTCAAATAGATGACGTCATTATGACGATGACCTAAGCAAACAAAACGCTAGCAATTTGCTAGCAGATTAGCAACAAATTCGACCAGATATTGATCTATAGTCATCTGTGTGCGCATTAGGTTCGGGATTTGTCAACAAAGCCTGCTAACATGCTATACCAGCAGATTGGCGGCAAAAATTGAGCAGAATCTGTTGACATGTTATGCGAACAGATTTGACAAAAACCGAGCAGAGCCTGCTGACATGCTATGCCAGCAGATTGGCGGCAAAAATCGAGCAGAGTTTGCCTTAACATCCTTGTTGGACGATTACGTTTTGCATCAAATACATACATAAAAATATATAAATAATAAATGCATGTTTAAATTTGATTATGATTTCGCTTATATAGAAAGTTTGCGAGAAACAGACGCCATCTAGCAATAGTTTTTCGACGGAATATCATACAAGTATATTCGAGATATTCTCCGAACATTCGAAATATTGCGATATACTGTGGAATGTACTTAGTTTCCAATTATTGTGTTTAAATATTGTGTGACAGGCTCTGCTTGGTTTTTGCTTGGAGTAGATTTTTGAAGAGAGTTTGCTCACATTGTCAGATATTACAGACTCTGTGTGCAATTTGTTGTCTTTTTGCAATCAAACGATGATAACAGGCTCTGCTTGATTTTTGCTAGCAATCTGCTGGCATAGCATATCAGCAAGTTTTGTCCTATTTTTGAGGACAGTTTGCTTACAACATCAGATATTACAGACTTTGTGTGCAATTTGTGGCTTTTTTGTCATCAAATATTGGTAGCAAGCTCAAAATCTGTTTCTGTAGGTTTTGCCAACGGGGAATTTAAGATCATTTTTTGTCAGTGTACTAAAAAATAACGTAAAATAAACGTAACATTTGTCACGAAATATTATCGTTATAAATATATTGTCATTTAATGGTCATTTTTAAATTATTTTTAATGAATAAATAATGAAATAACATTATTACTCTAATAGCACTTGTCTATTCTGAGAACGTTCGACGGAATATCATACAAATATATTCGAGATATTCTCCGAACATTCGAAATACTGCGATATACTGTGGAATGTACTTAGATCGTTACTACCGCTCACTAATCCCTAGTATGTACTGGAGAATATCCCGCAGTATGGTCATAGGATGAAAATGGTTTAAAAACAGTATCATGTAGGGCATGCATAAGTGTCCCAGACAGCCATATAGATCGTGAAAATCTATAATATACCTCTTATGATACCTCTTATGGAAAATAAGTAAAAAGAAATGAAAAAAAATGAGAGAAAGAAATAAAACATTTTTTATCTCGTATCATTGCATGTTTTTAAAACGGTCACCCATCTTACTTGGGATCCCGCTCGATACTGCTTTACTTCTACAATGAGATGAAATTTGCAACTGAAATGATGATATAAATAAACACGGAATTTTGACATAAAGTATGATAGACCTGGTTAACGAATGCTACTATATTGTCATATAAATAGTTTTAAATAATTTTAAAGCCTCGATTGCATATGTAATTCTTATAAATAATTAAATTACATATATAGAGCCGTGAACCTACATTATGTTTAATGAGAATCATTTTTATTATGAAAATTATTTATAAATTGTTGTATATATTTTATTTACTTTTTTATGAATTTGTTAATAATTGTATTAAATATGGGAAATATTTTTCTTATTTATTTATTATAGTTAATTAAGAAAGATAGTAATTAATAATATTATTTCATTAAAAATGACTTAAAAATGACGATTACATGACACTATATTTATGATATATAATATTTCGTGACAAATTTTACATTTATTTTACGTTTTTTAGTACACTGTGTACATAAAAAATGATCTAAATCGTCATAATGACATCTTGCTACTTGGAATACATAGATTTTATACGAATAATCTTAGTATATTCGGTATGATCACAGTACATTTAGTATAAATACAGAATATTTATATCATGTGCTGCTAGAATATATACGACATATTCTGAAGACAAGCTTAAGAATATACGAGAAATGATATACCAAATGTCATATGAATGATGTTCTCTAGTATATTAAGCAATAGTACGTATGACCACAGTACTTTCAGTACGAGTGTAGAATATTCGAATGATATCATGTGCTATTAAGGTAATTGAAACATTAATTAAACTATCTTTCTTAATTAACTGTAATATATAAATAAGAAAAATATTTCCCATATTTACAATTATTGACAAATAATTCATAAGCAAATAAACAAAATATATTCAACAATTTATAAACAATTTTTAAAATAAAAATGATTCTCATTAAACATAATATATTTACGGCTTTATATATGAAATTAAATTATCTACAAGAATTACATATGCAATTACATATACCGAGATTTTAAAATTGAGACTGTTATACGACAATATAGTAACATTCATTAATTAGATCTATCATATTTTATGCCAAAATTTTGTATTTAATTATATCATTATTTCATTCAGTAGCAGCTTTCATTCCAACATAGAAGTGAGGCAGCATTGAGCCAGGAGTTAGATAGTCCCAACTTAGATGTGTGGTCGTTTTAGAAACATGCGATCGTATCAAGATAAAAGATGTTTCATTCTCTTCCTCTTATTTTTTTAAATTTTTTCATTATTTTCACTTATTTTTCCGTAAGGAGTGTCACGTATATTATAGATTTTCAGTACTAGCAATCAATATCGGAACATAATCATAATCTATTGAAAATTTCCCGTTTTCTTTCCTAATACTGTCATCATTCGCTGCGAATATTCACGGCGAAATTCCATGGAAAGTGTTACCCCGGACATAGGAACGTACTTAGTCGATCGCAGTACGTATGAGAATATTCTGAGATGATCGCAATATACGCATATTGCGATCTTCTCAGAACATACTCAGAACGTACGCGTGCTGTTAGGGATAATACAAAATAAAAAATGTTTTGTCACTTTCTCTCATTTTTTTCATTTATTTTCCGTAAGAGATGTCACGTATATTATAGATTTTCACGATCTATATGTCTGTCTGGGGTATCTTTGTGCATGCCCTACATGATATACTGTTTTTAAACTATTTTCATCCGATGGCCATACTGCGGGATATTCTCTAGTACATACTACGCATTAGGTTAGTGAGCGGTAATAACATCCCAGTCAGCAAAATGTTAGCAGAATTTGCAATCGGCAAACTGGCAACAGATTTAACCAGAAAATGTTAGCAGATGGACTTCATCCGAGGTCTCATTCTGCTTACATTTTGTTGAAGACAGAACCTGTTGACATTTTGTGTCAGCAGACTGGCAGCAGAAATTGAGCAGATCTTGCCATCAAATTGTGTCGTGCAAGTCCTGTTCGCTTTCTGCCGCCAATTTAACGGCAAACTGCAACAGGGTCTGCTCGACTTCTGCTGCCAATCTGCTGGCATAGAATGTCAACAGATTCTGTCAGGTTTCTGGCAGCAGTTTGCTAACATTGTCAGATATTACAGAATCTGTTAGCTTTCTAACAGCAAAAATTTATAACAGACTTTGCGTATAATTTGTCCTTTCAGATTTGGCTCGGGGATTCTAAGTATATTTCATAGTATATCATAGTACATATTTCGAATGTTCGGAGAATATCTTGAATATACTTATAATACCCCGTGGAACATTCTCAGAATAGACGAGTGACTATTAGGACACTTGCTGAGTTCGTTAAGCGTTATAGCTCTTGAAGATTTCTACTTATGGAATCCTAATAAATTTATTAATTTTTTTTCTTGGCAAATGATTGTATATCTTTTTCGTAGCAAATGATTGTATATCGGACAGAAGATCAGTGTTGGAAGATCAGAAGCCAAAACAAAATATATACATTCCACAATGCATGTCCGATGGAAGGTATCATCGAGTGCAATGCTATTCAGGTTATTGTTGGTGCGTATATCAAGATACAGGTAAGCCAATACCAGGAACATCCTCCAAGGATCGTTCGCCGAATTGTAATCCAGCTCCGACTCCTAGTAGACCTATGAAAGGTAATCATAGTACAAGTATATTTTCTTGAAAATTACGTACTCACGCATACACAAATGTATTTGTTATAAATTCATCGTTACATTAATCGTAATGTTCATAGGATGTCCAGAGTTGAAAAAACAATTATTCCTTCGGGATTTAATGGATCTCATGCAGGAGAAAATGGAAACCTCTAGCAACAATTCTAATGAAACTACAGTTAAATGGGAGGCTTCTAAGGAGGAAAGGATAGCCACGTGGCATTTTGTAATGCTTGATAAGAATAAAAATAAGGTATACTAAGCCAAAAACAGTTACTATTTCATATTTTCTCATTAATAAATAATAAATATAAATCATTAATAAATATAAAGTGATATATCGTCATCATATTCGGAGCTTAATATAGATTTTGACAATTTTTCAATTAATTATGTTATAATTCTAAGGAGAAGAGAATATCTTTCCTTCTTTTTTTAATTAGATGATTTTCCGAATTAAAATTAGTGTTTCCTGATCTGTATTTTCCTGTAATCTTTTTCCTATCACGATTCTTTAATAGTTTTTGGTATATGCTTATCTATAGGTTTTAGAAAGAAAAGAATGGAAAAGTTTTCGTACAATGGTAGCGAATAATAAACAACTTCGGAGATGTGGTAAAAAATTACCGAAATATTGTGACATCAACAATGATAGAAGGATCAGTATGACAGAATGGCTCAGCTGTCTCAATGCTCAGCGTCCAACAACAGGTAAAACAATATCTTTTACTTTTCTTCTTTTTTATCATACATGTAAATTATTGCCTAACAATTGTAAATTTTACGCATATTTCAGTCGATGATCCAGCGAAAACATCAATTACTCCAAAAAGAATAGGTCCAAATCCATTAGACCGATTCCTCAATGATGATGACTAGTATATGATGTGATATAAATTGTGTTCGCAATTTCATCAAGAAGCACTTCTTCTTATTACACTCTAATTACTAAGCGATTACTATTTTTGAAATTTTACCGTAAGCCTACAAAGATGTTTCTTCAATATTTTACTAATTTTTGAAAGTTCAAGTTTTAGCAGTTTCGCAAATCTTTTGAAAGTTCAAGTTTTAGCTAGTTTCGCAAATCCTTAAACTTAAAATTCTCATAATTCTTGGCGTTTCCAAGAATGATTTTTATTTGATCATTTATACTTTTTTGTCTATTTTCGAGAATTTAAATATTTACGATCGACGAATTTTCTGACAAATATCGACATCATCGTATGTGTATGTGTGCATAATCGTCAATTGTATGTATATGCTCTTGTGTATCACCTAGTCCATAAATAATCCTTTAATAATTAAGCTATCTCTTATACTAAAGATAAAATCAATACAATTTAGAAAAGTTTTCAATAAAACAACTTTCATAGCATTTTTTTCAAAACTGAACTTTCGTTACATATCTTAATCCATTTGTCCCTTTGATCATATAAAATAGTATCTAATATTAAGCATTTTTTTAAAATTTGTTAATAATCCTGCAAAAATATCTAGTAAATTTTATTTACAGCTACATATTTCTTATGAACACAATATTTCATTCAAATGATTTTCAAATGATTGACAAGTAGTTTTTACAGAAATAGGCCTGTTCTTTTTAATTGAACTTTTCCATCTTTTTTTCTTTTTTCCTTCAATGTGCAATAAGTTCAACCAAGAAGAATAAGCTTAATGAGAATACTAACTGCATCTTTTAAAAATAGAGAGAGAAAGAAAGGGGAAAGGAGTGAGATAGGTAGATATAAATAGCATGTTCAAATCATCCATTAATGCATGCAATAAACATTTATAATAACGTATTATTTTAATAAAATGTATGTTTAATTCCTGTGTGTAGTATGTATCTTTATTCTTTCTCTCTCTTTTATACGCGCACGTGGCATACATACATACATATATGTATATACACAAATGCAATGATATTCTCTCATTCATATACATTTCTTTTTCTAGATTTTACAGTTCTTGCACAAAACAATAGTGTATTTTTTCTTTTTTATCGTAAACAGCATCGTACCAACTCACATTACAAGATGCACATCCATAGTTTATATAAACATAATTTTTGGAGAGTCAATTGCTCTCGAAATTGCTTCTCGAGCTTAGTCCATTTTTTTGGCACCTCGCATTTTCCATGCGACTAGCAAATTCCATGAAAAATACAATGAGAAACTATGAACTTGTGAGGCTAAAAGAATAAAACCATACCAAAGTACACCATATGGTAGGCTCTGAAAAACAAAATATATATGTAAACAAAAGATTTAGTTTGCATACAAAATTAAAGAGTAAAATCATTTTGTCCAAAATAGATATTTGCAAGTATGTAAAATAAATATATATACACATACAATTTTATTTAATAAAAAGTTTAATTAAGAAACTCTGGATTGAAAATAATTATACCTGCCACAAATGAATGTCTTCAGATTCGCCTACAGTCAAATATGTCCAGACATCCTTAAAATAATATACTATGGCATAAAGTAATGGACCATAACCTAGCAAAATGATACCTATCATATATTTCTGCAGTGTTTTGATCTTAGTTTTTTTTAATTCGCAGAGAGACCGAGAAAAGATAATAACAAACTAGTGCACCATATGTATTCCCACCATAATGGCTGAAATAGAAGAAAAAATTAATTCATTAAGCGATCAAACATAAATATACATATAAGAACTACAAAATAAAAAAAAAATTTACAAAAAGTATATGTTTTATTGCATTGCATCTATGATGAAATTAATTCACAATTAAAATATAAAAGATTCATGTTATATAATTGTTTAAAATAAATTTCCAATCAATTAAACAACAATTATTGAGTTTTATCAATAGGCAATTGAGATATTTCTTTATTATACCTGTGGTATTTGTAATTCTTCAATTTCTAAGATAAATATATCCAGATGATCTAATATATCTGCAGACAGTTTGGCGAGCATGACGAAAAATAATAGGTAATGAAAAAATATACAATACTTAAGTCTTGATTTGTTTGTCGCACTGGAAATAAGCATAGTTAATATTTTTATAAATTTTTAAATGAAAATAAAACTACATGTACATACTCTTCCATAACTTTATATCTCATATTTCATACACATTTGTTTACATTTTTCACCTTCAAATCTTATTCATCCAATATGCGATAAGAGATTATACTCTGAATTTTTAGTCGATTTTTTACAGACTGTATTAAAGCTTGATTGATATATAAGATATATGTGATATGCATTGACATAAATAATAGTTCTTGAAACAGGTGCATTCAGCCAAATATAAATAATTATCGTGTGCTACTGAATGAATGAGAATTGCCGAAAAATGATTCCGCGTTTCTCTCGAGTTTTCTCACCTGATTTGGTAGTGTGTGGCGATTTTCTGTCGATGACTGTAATCATTCCCATCTGTTCCCAGAGTCTGGGAAAGCGTAACTTTCGAAGCCATAATCAGCAAGACTCGCGTCGGTCTCGAATAATCTGAGGATACGGAAAAAATTCACGTTCGAACCAAAAACTAGAATCTAAGCCAATTTATGTCTGGTTGTTCATCAGCGCGTATTTAACTATTTTTAAACCTTGCGCAGTCAGATGGGAAACCAAGTTGCCCCTAACGGCCTTGTCGGGCCTTGTCAGGCCTTGTACTCGTACCTCGCGCCTTGTATATCATCACGGGAGTGAAACCAGTGACACGGTATATACAGTAGCGCAACTCTCCCGATTTC